TATTAGTATTAGTATTAGTATTAGTATTATTATTAGTATTAGTATTAGTAGTATTAGTAGTAGTAGTAGTAGTATTAGTATTATTAGTATTATTAGTATTATTATTAGTGACCCAGGCACATGTTTAGATGTATCCCTTAAGAGCTTCTTAACTGCACTATTAAAAAACCAAAACTGCTCATGCCAGGTGTTAAGAATCGTGCTGTCATAGCTCAGTTTCTCTCTCTATAAAATGGGAATGTGGTTAGTTAACACACAGCTGATGTCAGGATAAATCAGAGGCATAGACAGGCACTTACAAGTGTATAGATACTTTCCATCACCTGCATTAATTAAGAGTAACAGGGCGGCGACAGTGAGTAAGCTGCTTGAAATGGCCATTTAAAATTCCAAAAGAATTCATTCTTGACTGGAGTTGCAACCCTATGAACTACTTACAAAAGTAGAATTTATTTCATTCGACTTTGTATGTGGTAGATCCAGAAGCCAACTGAGTTAAGAAAAGAGCGAATCTAAATCCAGATAATTTTGGATTACAGAGCCCATGGTCCTTTACTGTCTCAGTCCAGTCTCCTCGCGAACCACACCCTTTGCTAATCTTTCCTCCTTAAGTGATAGAGTTAGCATTAAGTGCCTCATTTTTCTTTCGCGGCTGCCTGTTTCTTGGCACTTCTGAAGTGTTTTCTTTAAACGCCAGGAAGCAAACCAGGGGGAGGCGGCAAAAGAAGCAGCGCCCATCTCCCGAAATCATTGCCCTCCTTAAAGCTGTTTTGCCGAAAAACTGACAATTTATGCAGAAGCGTGGCGGCGACGAAGGCTCAAAGGTGCCTTTCGCAGATGCAACAGCAGGTGGCGCTCAAAGCACGGGGGATTCCTAGCAGCAGGTGACGCTGAATTTATACAGCTTTTCTTCCAGGCAAGCTTGGAGGGGAGAAAAAGTTACCCGTAGCCCCGTTCCACAGGATTTGACCCATTTAAACCGTCGCCATTTGTGATTCACATTAAAAGGGCGCTGTTTTTCATACGGGACGGGGGGTGAACGGGGAGTTACTGTAGATGACGAGGCAAACAATTTTGATCCTTATAATGATTTTTTACTTATTTTAGGATGAAGGTAAAATGAAGAACTGGCCGGATGGGTGTGTGTGTGTGCATTTAATGCGCTAGAAATCGCTATCGTCCGCACAGTTTCTCTATTGGAACTTCCTTACGCGAGTGCCTGATGGGGGCGGAAGGCCCTCGGGCAACCCAGGACTGACGCAACCGACGTCAAAGCACGGTGTGCAACTAATGCCACCCGGGTCCAGTAGTTTAGGAATCGCATGGCCTACCAAGCCGATCGGTTCAGGCCTCTAGGCTAAAATCTTGGCACTGGTCCACCGGTTGCATCTGAACCCAGCAGGAAAACTATCGCACAGTTTACTCCAGATTAATTGACTGGAGTGTGCGCCACCCTTGCGCACACTCGTGAGGGTCATCACTACCAAACAAAGAAGGGATCTGAGGTCCCAGGGCTCTCTGGATCGGGCCGGGCCCCTAAAATCAATGGGACTCTTTTCCTAGGGGAACGTGACTTAAGCGCTGTTCCCGTAGCTACTACGAAGGGATACTTCGAATGATTCAGACACGGGACGAATCCTGACTGCCGTTGGCCAATTGGCCTTCAGAAGTTGGAAACACTTCCTTTTTTTTCCTTTTTAAGTGGCGAAGAGTCTTGTGGCACCTTGAAGTTGACGCGTTGTCCTCGACTGCAGCGCCCCGCGCCTTGATGCATCCGAGGGCAGCTCAGGCCGATCTCAAGGTGCCACAAAGCTCTTCGTCCTCTTTTTAAGGCCGAAGGTCCACGCTGCTGTCCGCCCCCCCCCCTCGGGGCATTGAAAAGGGAAGAAGAGGTGCTTAACTCCGCTTGGTTTGGACGGATGGGGCGTCCCAGCCAGATCCCAGAACGCGGGGAGGCTTCCGGCTTAAGAGCCCTTCGGCGATCGCGGCGTCAAGCCTTCCCCAAAGCCCTCCCGTGGCTACGAATACCTGAGAGGCGGAGTCTCCCCTCGATTCCGTCGGGAGGCAAACCTCTCTCTCTCCCCCCGCTGGGAATTTCCCTGAGGTGGTGCAATCCTGCCCGGTTCTTTTTCTTTTCTTTTCTTTTTTCCAGATCCAAGCACACCTGGCGAAACGGCGGCGCTTGGCCTCTCGCCACCCAGCGCCGAAAAGAGAAAGAAGACGCGGATCGCTGAGCTGCACTGGCCCCGCCGAGGACATTCGGGATCTCTGGGCAATCTTGGGGCTAGTTGGCTGGCTAGAAGCAGAACACACTGGGCCGAGAGGGGGGAGGGGTCCCTCGTGCTCCGGGCCAACCTGACCTTGCCTGTGTCCTACATACAGGATGCTGGGATCTGTAATCCGGGGGGGTGTCCTGACGCCTCTCACACCCGGAGTGCCAGCGAGTTCCCTGGCGCTTCTCGGCAGCTCATTTGGGCATCCCTCCAAAAAAAAACTACACATCCCAGCGTTCCACAGGGCAGCCCCCCCCCCGGCAGTTTAATACGGTATCGAAGTGCGAGGGCGGCGCGCTGTAGATGCTCGTAAGAGAGGCGCGCGTCTCTTGCCCGTCAACGGTACCCGGTGTCGTGTGTGTCCCCCCCATCCGCGCGCCCCCCCCGGTCCCTCTCCGCTCCTCCTCCTCCTCCTCCTCCTCCTCCTCACCGGCTTTGACCGAGCAGTGGATGTGCGCCTTGGACTCGTAGTAGACCCAGTCGAAGCCGGCTTCCACGGCCAGGCGGGCCAGCATGCCGTACTTGCTGCGGTCCCGATCCGAGGTGGTGATGTCCACGGCCCGGCCCTCGTAGTGCAGCGACTCCTCGGAGTGGTGGCCGTCCTCGTCCCAGCCCTCGGTGACGCGGAGCTTGACCCCCGGCCACTGGTTCATCACCGAGATGGCCAAGGCGTTCAGCTTGTCCTTGCAGCGCTGCGGGGGTGGGGGGGGGAAGAGAGAGAGAAAAAAGAGAGAGCGAGCTCAAAGAAGCGCCGGCGGAAAGTGGGAGAACCAGCCTCCGAGGGGGAAGAAACAGCTCCCCTAGTCCTAAGGCTTGGACTACAACACCCGTCATCATGGGGGGACGCTGTTCAGCCCGGAAGGCCTCCCCTTGACAAAGGGCCAACCATGGAGAATCAAAACACCGCTCTTTGCTCTCTTTCCCTAGCTGCCCCCCCCTCGCCATCCTCCATGCTCATCCTTGAGGCTCAGGATCGCCCTGCGGGGTTAGGCAGGATCCTGGACTCTACATAGCCCCAGAAAGATCTTTAACCACCCACGCAGCTGCATCCTTTGTAAGAACCTCTTGGGTGCAAGGGAATTCAAGAGAAGGATGTAGAAGAGGGAGGAAAGGGGGGGGTGTAATTTTTTTCAATCCTCAGGATAAGGCTGCGTGCGAGCCACCAAGAGTCGCCAGAGATCCACACAGAATAAAAGCTTTCTGGATCATACAGGGCCCCAAACCTCTCATTGCTTCCATCTTTACTCAAAACGTTGCTGATTTCAAAACCCAGGTTTGGGGATTACTTTAAGAGATTGTTCTGTGCCTTCAAGTTGAAATCGACTTATGGAGACCCTAGTATGGCTTTTAAGGTAAGTGAGATATTTAAGGAGTGGCTTTGCCAGTCCCACTCCCCCCAGTGAGTTTTTCCTTGGCCAAATGGGGATTCGAACCCAGGTCTCTCGAGTCCTGGTCCATCACTCCATCCACTACACCACACTGGGCATCACCAGAGGACAGCAGCCATTTAAACCCTTTTGACCCTCTGTTCATGACCCCTAAGGCTGCCGTGCTTTCCCCACTTACAAGGGAAGAACTTTGGCTGAGGATTCCCTGGTAGGACTCCCTGCGCGTTTTTGGCCGTTGTGTAGAGAGGATGCGCGCAAGCGATTGAATTGGGGGAGGAGTGAAGAGGCTTTTAGAAAAGGCTGGACTGTGGAGAAGGCCTGTTGAAGCTACAAAATTCCATGGAAAGCCTACCAAGAAAGTAAGTTTGGAAGGCACACAAATATGTACAAGCAGGCTGGGGGCTGGATGAAACAAGTGTGAATGGGAGATGGGGGGGGGGGAAGGAATCCCTTAACCCTTCCCACGCCAGCTGTGTTGTGATCAAGATTGGGCTGCGGTGATTTCTAGCTCCCAAAAATCGCTCAAAGGTCGCCCAGGGAAGAAGATCCTCTTCTCCTCCAGGAGCAACCCCCACCCCCCCACTATGCCTTCCTTCTGCCTTGCCTTTCAGGACAAAATCGGTGGGGTGCTAGTAATAACACACCTCCTTAGCACCAAAGCTCCCGAGAAGACATAAACCCGCCTAGCATGTTGCCATGATGGATGGTCTAAAACCCTCCTCAGAACACCTGGTGACCTCCAGATAGGTTGTGCTACCATCATCTGCCTACCCACTGCTGCCTGGGGATGATGGAAGGCATGGTGGCCCTACATGCCTTGAGGAGAACAACACTTGGGAATGGCGGGTCTACAAAAGTCCCCATCTAACATCAGGGGGTGGCCAGATCTTAAAACCTAAGCATGGGCACCAAGCTGAACTTTCATGGGGCTAGTTTGATCCTGTCCCCCCCACCCCATCCCTCCAAAATACAAAACCTCAGCCAGCAAAACCAGTAAAAGGAGAAGACATGCAGTGGTGGCCTCAATGGTGAACCTTTGCCTTACGAAGAACACAGCCTGATCCACTTCATCCTGACGTCTGTCCTAAACAGGCTTACTCCGGAGTCAGTTCTGTTCTTCTCAGTGGAACCTACCTCCCCACTAAGGCTGCAGTGCCTTGCCTTCCACAAAGCACCCCTCCACTCATTCAGGTTTCCTTCTGAGTAAACCTCATCAGATCCTATTTTTTGTCTGAAGGAACCCCTTCCTTTTCTGGAGTTGGTGAGACTGGGGGCCTTGGGCCCAATTATTTAAAGCATTTTAATCTCTTTCAGGAAACACACCTAGGATCAGAGCGTCATGTGGCACAAGACCCATTTATTGCCATGGAGGTTTACGAACCTTCTGAAGGCCATCTTTCTGCACAAACCAACAAAGAGTGTTCTCCTGTTTGCAGTGCGCTGCACGTCTACTCTGAAACAAATACCACTTTGTCCAAATGTACTCCCTGTACGCTTTCCCCAACCTGCTGCCCTCTGGAGGCTTTTTTGGACTACACAACCCATATCACCCCAGAGTGTTGGACCTGATGGGAGCTGTAGTCTGAAACAACTGGAAGGTATTACTCTGGAGAAGCTCTCGTACTAGTAAGCAATAAAAGCAATGAAGAGCCTTAGGGCATCTTAAGTGCTAACAAGTGTAACTTGGCATCAGCTTTCATGGTCCTTGGTAGCTCACTCCTTCAGATTCACTACTAAAGATTGAAGTCAGCCTCACATTCCTCTGTTCCTGGACCTGCTTTACTTGAAAATCACTACTGTATGTATAAACCCTATGCTACTGTCTGTATCATTCACAGGCTACAATTGCATGTCAGACCACTGGTTCTTAACCTTGGGTTACTCAGGAGTTGTGGACTGCAACTCCCAGAAGCCTTCACCACCAGCTGTCCTGACTGGGGTTTCTGGGAGTTGCAGTTCAAAAGCATCCGAGTAACAAAGGTTAAGAACCACTGATTTAGACAAACAAACTCTCCCAAAACCTGCAGGATTCAACCTCAAGTAGATTCCTCCCCTTCCCTTCCCTTCCGTCCCATTCACCCCATGTGGCTTGAGTAACATTCACTCCCCCAATACTCTCAAAAGCTCACACAGTTCAGGTGCCCTTGAGGTTGACCTTATAAAGATATACCAATATGAATTTTGAAGCAATTTTTAGTGTCCATTAAAAACAAAAATCAAAGAAAGCCCAAACTTTCTTTCTGAAATACTAGCTTTCTAATGTTGTGAGTTTTCCGGGCTGTTTAGCCGTGTTCTTAAGGTTTTTAGAAATTCTTCGTTTTTCTTCACTGTGTTCCAAACAGCGAAGGTGTCATCCACATATCGGAACCAGACTGTGGGTGCGAAGGGTGCCAAAGTCGGGGCCTGATTTATGAAATGTTCCATGTAGAAGTTTGCTATAATCGGGCTGAGGGGGCTCCCCATGGCCACTCCATCTGTCTGTTCATAGAACTCGTTATCCCACTGAAAATAGCTGGTCGTTAGGCATGTTGGGAAAGGGCCTTGATGTCTTCTGGAAAGATCTGCTGGAGGAGTGTCAGAGTGTCCTTTATCGGTACCTTGGTGAACAGGGATACTATGTCAAAGCTGATCAGTCTGTCCCCAAGGTTGAGATTTAGGGTTCTGATGTTGCTTATGAAATGTCCTGAGTCTCTGGTGTACGATGAGGTTCATCCAGTGTGGGTCTGTAGGAGGGTGGCTAGGTATTTTGCTAATTCATATGTCGGGGAGCCAATGGCACTTACAATGGGTTTGGGTGGTACTGAGTTTGTGGATTTTGGGGAGTCCGTATAGTCATGGTGGGAGAGCTTCTGTCTTGCAGATTCGTTGAAGGATGTTGGGGTGCAGGGAAGAACTCCTGATCAGCATGTATGTTTGTTTTGTGATTTTGTTGGTTGGGTCCTGTTTCAGTTTTCTGTAGGTGGTGGGGTCTAGAAGTTCCCTGATTTTCTCCTTGTATTCTTCTGTTTGCATGATTACTGTGGCATTGCCTTTGTCTGGTGGCAGGATGATGATGTCCGGATCTGAGTTTAGGGGCTTGATAGCATTTCTCTCCTTTCTTGTTATGTTGCTTTTTGGAGGTTTTACTTTTCGTAGGATCCTTGTCACTTCACCTCTTATTTCTTCTGCTTTTCCTTATGGAAGAAGATATAATGCTGATTCAACGTTGGCAATGATGTCTTCCACAGGAATTTTAGTGGGTGTGACTGCAAAGTTTCTTCCTTTGGCTAAGATTGAGGTTTCTTCCGGGGAGAGTTGGCATTCTGATAGGTTGATGATGATGCACAAGGTGTCTAGTGTAGGTTTCGGTTGGCTTGTTTGGCATTTGGTTGAATTTCTATTTTTTGTCTGGCTGTGTGGTTCAGAATTTCTTTTTTCATCTTTCTATAGGAGAGGATATCAATCTTGTCCCAATCTTGACTTCTCATTTTTTGGCTGATATTGATGTGTAGGATTAGTAATTCTTTGTCCGTGGAGTCCAGTTCTTTG